AAAACAAAAAGAAAGCATACAACCCCCACTGTTTAAACAACTCAGCATTTCAAAGCATTGGACTAAATCATTTTTATTTTTTTTATTTTTATTTATTGGGTGGAAACAATATTTACATTTACTATTTGAGAAACAGTCAACCAAGTTAAAACTCTAGACAAATAAATAAATTAAAATAAAAAACATTTACATTCAACTCTAACAAAATAAAGCTAAACAATAATCTAAACCCCAAAACATCTTCCCTACCTCTCAGTCAGTGTGGACTCTCCTCATGAGGGTAATTGAAAACACCAGTTTCTTGTCAACACTGCTCATGGGCTCACTTCCATGGTAACACGTGACCAAGCGACCTCAAAGAAAAGGAGAGTAATGAGAACAACAACAAATAAATCTTAAAGTTACATTAAATAAATTAGTTGTCAAAGACAGAACAGGCATGTGCACAGCACCTGTTAGTTAGGGAGTAAAACTCTCACAGTCNGCTTATGTTTATAGGCCTTTGCAGTCCCCCTTTTAAAGAAAAATATGTGCTTTCCAAAAAAATACATGTGATAGATGCAACTACAAGTGATTCCTCCTGTGTGCCTTTGTTTATTTTGGTTTGGTTGAGAGCTCAGCAGCTCTTGTTTTTGCCACAGCTATATTTCCTGCCTTAAACCATGATACTGCAATGTGTGTGGTTGTAGCAAGTGGTTGAGACTGGAGCAGAAGATGAATTCCCCCTTTGTGCATGCAAAAACTGAATTAATCTTGCAGGCAAGACTATACCTTCTCTGGTCCTTAAAATCCATGTGTTTAATGTTAGGGAAAAGCAAGAAAGAGACAACATTTTGTTAAAACGAAGACATAAAGAAAGCTAGAGCTACATTATAGGTCTGCTGAGGCTGGCTGATGGAAACATAGTGACAGATTCAGCTGTGACACCTAAGCCTTCCTGAGAGGCCTAGATTGATCAGTATAATAGGCTGACAGGAGAAATATGCATTCGTGAAACCTATTAAATCATAAGAAGAAGAAGAGAAACATTCAGAGTGGCCAATGGTTGGTGTTTGTTGGCATTTTCCCATGTCAGCATGATGAGTATACATTTCCTCGTGTTGCCTTTTAAATTGGTTTCTCTTTGCATAACTAAACTATGAAGGCAGAGCTTTGTTTTTGTCAGTGTTTGGTTGTTTTAGCTACTATGTTGGTTGCAGACATATTTACATACTATTGTGGCTAATGTATTTCTCAGTGTAGATCTCAGTACTTATATTTTTCCATATGGATCCAAAGGTAAGTAGTGACATTAGGTTGGCAAAAATACTGGGAGCAGCAGAGCTTCTTGAGTGTGTGTGTTTTTACTTTGTTTAGCTCTCAAACATCTCTTAGTATACACCCTCATTGCACATTTGAGAAGCTTCACTCAATTTCATCGTCTGTCCAGCTTAAGCAGCCTGATTTTTCCAGCTGGACTTCATGTTAGATCCACAAAAGTAATTTCTGACTTAAAAACATTCCTTTCTTTATTATTAGTCCCAAGTTTCCAGTTTGAGTGTGTTGAGTCTGAGTCAAAAACAGTATTAGCACACATAACTGCATGCACACACGTCCTCAGTGAATCCTTCTGACTTCTGGCATATGGTGTCTTCTGGCAACCCACTGTGTTGATTCCCTCAAAATTGCTCTAAGATATTCCTCTTAAAGATGTTTCCAAGGCAACTACTTTGATTTGATCAAAACTCTTGTCTGATTACTGGCATTTTTATTAGTGAATGACCTACATTCACTACATAGCACTACAGTACTTACTAACACAATAAGAAATTCACCTTCTGTGGTATTCAGACTAATGAGCACCTGAAAGACATTACAACTGATGAACTTTATAGTGTCCTGTTGTTTTAAAGCAGATCTACTGATGTAACTGCATGCATATAGTATATATATATATAT